ATAATATCACAGTACTTTGAAAAGTACCGTTCTTTAGCAACTGGCATTATAGCATCTGGATCGGGACTGGGTGGTTTTATTGTTGCGCCTATCCTACAAGCCTTGCTGGACTCCTTTGACTGGAGAAAGACTTACCGCATAACTGCTGGAATCATTGCAGTTGTTTGTGTTTTGTGCTTAACGTTTGATCCCACTGTAACAAATTCAAAGAAAGGGAAAAACCAAGCCCACAATGGAGAAGACAAAGAATTAGAAAGTCAAGATGAGCAGGAAGAAGGAGGTACAGAAAAGCCAAACAAGTGGATAGATCTCTGTGTGTTTGAGGAGAAGGTGTTTGTTGTTTTAACCCTTTCATTTGCATTGGCCTTGTTAGGACATCACGTTCCAAGGTTACACTTGGTAAGATTCTGCTATGTGTAGATGTAAGCTGTTCACACTAGCATCATCCAGTGGCAGATCTAGCCCGGGATGGGCCCAGGGTACCTTGGCGTCCCCTTTTTGGCAAAGCAGTTATAATAAAAATAGTAACAAAATTTGGAACCCCACTTTTGGAAAACATTTTCCAAGAGGTCCAGGCTTTTAGCCAGATTGTTGTCCAGACGTCCTGTGGACAGCCACTTTTTAAACAAAATTGTTTTATTTTTCATATGTTGCCTTACAAATTGTTCATTTGAGCCGACCCTATAGCACGTTTTGGACGCCTACTTTTCAAATCCTGACTAAAAGCCTGAAGGGGTCCCCATGTTATAAAGAAGTCTGGGGGCCTCTTCATACAAGCCCAATAACAGACTGACTTGCAGGTTACTAAGATGAATTTTGTCGTCTGTTTGAGATATATAGGAAATTTCGGCCTGCTCAACTGGGATGAAATTCATGAAACAAAACCAAAATGGTACCACATAAAGTTGCATTGTTCACAGCTAGCCTATCATAGCCTGGTTGACTCTCTCAAGTTGCGATGTAGTCTTCTGTAATAAAGCTAATTCGCATACTTCTTAAGTGGAAATACATACAAGGCAAAAATTATGCCATTTTGGCTTATCTTTTACAAAAGGAAAGCCATTTTGTCAATTGAAACAATGTATGCCCCCGTTACCCATGCTTGAGTGTTTATATGGGAAAATTTTCTTCCCAGTTCACCATTGCTGAGTTCTCAGTTTTAAAAACCATGATCTCGGTAACTGGGCTGGCCTGCCTTCTGATATGCATGTTCATGAACACATCAAAATTTTAGCAAAGGAAACAGGAGAGATAAAATGAGGCAAGATCTCAGTAACCGAGCCATCCCAGTCAACCGGGCTCATATGAAGACACCCTGGATCCATCACTGGTATTCCCGCCCAATTCACAGGGCTGGCATAACCTAATTACAGTCAATCTCATTCCATACTCGTCTGACTGACCTCAAAATGTCTGTCAAGGAAACGACAATCACACCAAGCTTGTACAATGTGAATCACATTAATGCAGACGTGAAAATCACAATGTTTTGGCTGTAATGTAGCTACATTTTTCATTTTTCTATTTGCACACTTGCATTTTTATAGGCATTAACTTGCATTGCAATGAATGTCAGGCCTTAAGGTTAGGGTTAGGCCTTCTGAGTTCCAAGATAAAAAATAAATTTCTTATATGAAGACAGTTTTGACACTGAATATGACTGTAATTACTCAGAATTGCAGTACATTGATTTTGCATTTTGACTTGTCCTGTGGGCTTGCCAAAGTACAACAAGGCTCTAGAAGTATTAAGTGTCCAACTACTATTGGCCACTAAGATATCATGGTATTATTTACAATATGTTAATTTGATTCTCTCATTTTGTTTTTGCGTGGCAGGCAAAATTTGCAGAAAGCCTCCAGGTGTCAGCTGATGCAGCTTCAAGGCTTTTCATTTACATCGGTATCAGCACATTTATTGGCCGATTGCTCAGCGGTTTCTTGTGTAACATACGTTGTGTAAATCCCTTCTATGTGTTCATGGTTGGTCTTATTTTAGATGGCTCATCTGCAGTCTTTCTTTCTCAAGCTAAACACTATGGACAGCTTATTGCATTTGCCTTTTCCTATGGATTAGCAGATGGTCTTGTAATAGGCACTTTTAATATTACCATACTCTACTGTGTGGAGCCAAGTAAGAGAGCATCAGCATTTGGTATATCTGCTCTTTTCTATGGAACAACAACTGCCACTGGCCCTCCTTTGGCAGGTAAATTATCACTGTAAATATGGGCGGACTAGATAATGTAAGTTATATCTACAGCACCCTCAACAGTGCGTCTGTTAACAGATGTTTAGATAAGTTTTGCCACTTTCAATCATCAGATCACATTTTATTTTTTTTTTTTTTTTGATTTGCCACACAAACAAAAATAGAATTAAAGTACAATGTTTAATAAATAACAAAAATTAATATACAAGATTACAATGAAGATACAAAACTACAATTTATATATTAAAGGATAGAAAACAAAATAATGAGGGAACCTAATAAAAACCAAGGGGCTTGTAAGCTTCGGTTCCCTCTCAAGAAACACCAGATGACTAATTTAGATAAAGTAATCAATGGCAAGGCTTATTTAATGACAGACCAATAATTGCTTTAAGTTTTTTTTCCTAAAAGATGCCAGTGGTGAAGAGCCAGAAATTTCAGGTGAAGGAGAGTTTAAAAATTTAGGATCTCGATAGAATACCATTATGGAGAAAATGGAGAATAGGGAGATTCCCATATACAGAGTATATGGAATACAGATTCCCAATACTGAAAATACGGAGATTCCCATACTCTAGTGGGAAATAAAAGAAGCAACCAACTATGATTTGGCATAATCATAGCATTTTAAAATGAGCCAAACAATGATGAACTGACCGCATCTAAGTTGTCAAATTAAAAATCTAACAGTTACTCCACGCATACACACGGAGAATATTTGGTGGATAACCAAGGCATTTGACACAGAGTAAGACTAACCATCTCACACCCAACAAGTGCATAACTCTTTCATATAACCAGGAAAGTACATGTAGATCAAATAAATCTTGCTAATTTTGTGGCTGATGTCCACACTGCTTAGCCACTTAAATTATCCAGACCCAGCTCTTATTACAGTGAAACGTATATTAAGCAGACTCTGCCCTTAATAATCGCAAACGTTTCTTCCCAGCAGATACTAACGGATCCAGGGGGTGCAGTGTTCCAGATAAGTAGGGGGTCTCAGGTCAAAAACCCTAAAAGGTCAGCCACATGACCCAACAAATTAATTAATATTTGGTGGGAACAATGGGAATTCCTTGTTGTCACCCTACATTGAAAACTCATCTGGAACCTTGGGGTGTCCCCTTAGTTAAGTACAGGATACACAGTTAGGATCAAACTAACATACTTTAAGGTGATCATGTTTTTATCAAATTTATCTGTTTATTCCTCTTTATCAATTCTTTTCTATAAATATAACCTATGATTTGTTAGACTCCTAATTGAGAGGTTCATCATCAAACAGGTTCCAACAAATTATAGACCAATTTCAATATATTAAAATTCAGCTTAACACAATAGACCTCAGTACGAGGCTCTGCGGAATAAACCCCACAAACTCTATAATAATAATAATAAATAAATAATAAATAATAAAAAACTCTGTAGTTATTCCCCAGAGCCTCGTACTGAGGTGTATTGTTTTAAGCTGAATTTTAATGTATTGAAATTGGTCTATTGTGTTCAAAGTATATCTGGTTGCTTATCCGAGGCAAGAGAAGATACAAAGTAAGCGTCTCAATAATTGTGACTTCTTTTTCTTCCGTAGGTTTTATAACGGATCGTCTCCATACATATGTTCCATCTTTTATCATGGCTGCTGCAACAGAATATACAGCAGCAGCACTGCTTCTAATCCTCATCTGCGACAAAAAGAAGACGCAGAATTACAAACCTTCAGACTCTTCAGAAAGCACAATGCACAATGACCATACAGGTGTAATGCTGTGGGAGACCCAGGTGTAAA